GTTGATGAAGGTCCCACTTGGTCCAGGCTGAAAGTCAAAGCAACTGTTGGGCTTTTCAGGGAACGTCCTTCCCTGAAGTGGGAAGGCAGGTAAAAAATCTGCTGGCAGCTGCCCAAGGGCATCTGTTGCCTTATTGAGGAGACATTTGTGCTTTTTGCACGCAGTCCTGTACCTGGCAGTAGCTTTTCTGAGCTGGAAAAAGCATTAGCCACCATCAGCTGTGGGAGCACTTTCTAGACTGTGGATTTCTTTCTCTCCATTGGAGCGCCAGCTAAACTGTGCTGGCCAAGTCTGCCTCCCTCCCAGGTGAGATTTAGTAGTGCCAAGTACTCACTTGGCAATAGCGAGGTAGCAATAACTATCCAGCAGGTTTTGACTGTACAGGCCAAATCTAACCTGCAATTTTGCTTGTTCCACCCTAAGGACATGCATGAGAGAGGCCGTACACCAGGCTTAGGACCCCCGTAGTAGCTCAACATGACTGTGCAAATGCTATGATGTGCTGGGTCATGATGCCTGCTGCTCCACCCTCAGCCAAGCTTCTCCTGCCCACTACCAACAGGCGGACAGCCAGCCTGTCTGTGGGCAAGCCCATGCTTTGCTTCTTGCTTGACATGAGTTAGGGCTCCCAGGGCACAGCTGTCTTGCAGTCCTCTCTGTCCCCAGTCAAGGGCGATAGGACTCACCATGGCAACTTGCTCCTCTAGGCCCATCGGCTGAAAGACTCCTGCTCCTGTTAGCAGCACGCTCAAGTCAAGAGGAGGGAGCCAGCCCCTTGCAAGAACGAGGAGAATCCAAACCCAAGCGAGATTCAGGGCAGAAACCAGACTCACAGAAGGCTTGAGCGTATAGCACTGCACAGATATTGCATGTTGCAATCTGGCCTCCTGGCCCTAATATCCTCTGACAGCTCCCAGAGCAGGAGCTGAGCAAGTTAGTGATTTGATCATGACTCCAACTCCTGCGGGAACTCCTGCTTCAGAGTCCCTGCTGCCAAGTCCTTAACAAAGCACGCGAGGAACTGCAAGGACCTGCAGTTTCCAAACCTGTAGCAGTGACCTACCTTTGTGAGTTTAGAACTGCTGGCCAAATACTGGGTCCAGCCTAACTCTTGGAAAACAGAGCTCTAGAAGGCAACTCCAGCCAGGCCCTAGTAAAAGACCACTTGTCTGATGGCTAATTGTTTATGAAAATAGAGGGCACAAACTGAGTCAATATCACCAAGGGCATATTAGACATGGAAGCACCTACCCCAAATCAAATGCTACCTGTCCATCTCGGAGGCTTTAAGTGTGAAGTTTGCTTCTAACTCCCCTTCTGTCAGACTGTAGATGTAAAACATTAAAGCCACCTGGTAGCTCTGCTCATCAGCAATACGTTAAATTGCACCACAAAAACCATCCTCTTGCAAAAAAAGAGCAAACACGCAGAGCTGAAAAAGGACATGTGTGCCTCCCAGTTAATGTCACCTTCACAGCTTCCATAGGTCACAACACAAACAGATATCTCCTCTGAAACAAGATGCCAGGCAAAACACAGATCCTATTCTGGACAGTGCCAACAGCCCAGGGAGAGCTGAGGAATTTAAGGGAAATGGAGCAACAGGAAATGAGGAAAATTCCCCCAGCAAAGACCCTGTGTTCCTTTTGTGCCCACATGGCACTGCATTGTAAACAGGAATGAAACAATGGAGTTACTAAGTGACTGCCTGACAGTATGCATTCCCTAGGTCATTATCTCAAGGCTATTGTTTCCAAAGTGGGTCCTAGACACATAACAGGCAACAAAAGAACGGTGTTCACGCTCACTAAGATAGAGACACATCCCTTACAGAAAATAGAGACTTCCCAAAGATACTAAAGGCCTGGACCTGCCATGTCATCACAGCTAGCAATTCATGCCCTGAAGCAGGAAAAAACAGTGCCCAGGAAAGGACTAAGAATCAGACTGCCTGGACAAGCATAAGCTGGGGCTAATCAGTGTTAATTATAAAGACAGATGTAGCATGTGAGTCACTGGAGGGAAGGGGACACCCTTCAGAATCTTTATCTGGCCTAGACAATATCTGCCATGAAAATGGGAGAAACGGAAGACCAGTCCTGTCCAAATGTGGTCTCACTCCTGCTGCCACTAGAAATCATATGGGAAAGATTTAGAGAAAGAGGGGCACAATTTTAAAGTATCTTTTCTGGTAACAAAGTCCCCATAAGATCCCAGGAAAAGGAGTGAAGAAGTGCAAGCTCTGCTCCCCTCCATAGGAAAGGAAGAGCTGGGCTGCTCCAACTGCAGCAGAGTGGGAGCCATGCTGGCCAGAACAGCTCTCTCCAGAGGGTGCTGGGGACTGCACATGTAGAGGACAATAACAAGGACAGGCTAGGGGACACATGTGGTGGTTTAGCTCTCAGAACAGCTCCTGCAGAGATTCAGAGCAGGGCGTTTCAGGCTAATCTCCTGTGTCCCCTCAGGGAACCTGAAGGATTACTGCTCTACATCTGCTCACACGGTTGGGCCCCACCTTGTCAAAGCAGGGGGACATGCTGGCAGCTGCTCTCAGTTTGTTAATCAGTTTGGGATAAACAGTGATGGGCCCTGCCTGCTGCAATAGCACAGCATCTCTAACAGACTCCCTTTCTCACAGGCCTGGTGGCTTACCTTGGGCCCTGCCTAGGGCAAGAATTCACCTCATGTTTTACCAAGTGCTGGCTCCTGCCTGTGGCTATGGAGGACCAAGGTACAGCTTCCTTAGCTACATCAGGGGCTGGAGAAGGCAGCCACAGCAGTGTCTGGCCATTACTGAGGTCTGACCGTTGTTGGCCCAGGACAAAGTCCTTGGTTACAGCTCAAGCCAAGGTGGAAGCAGAGGTCCCAGGAGAGGGGTTGCCACTCACCTCCAGAGCCATGCTCTTGCCTGCATGGCACACCTCCAGAGCCATGCTCTTGCCTTGCCACATGTTCTCCCAGCCTTCCTCTAACTTACCAACAGACAGGGCTACAAAAGACCTGGGTGGGCTGATAGCTTTGGGCTGCTACCTGTGCACCCAGGTCACCTATGTGCTTCTCTCTGCTCTCCTGTTCCTCTTGAGTGTAGCCCTTGCAGAGCTCACTGCTAGCCAAGGCACCTGCCTCACAGGACACAGTTGAGCCTTCCTCTCCTTTTCAGGACTGGAGATCCCAGGCTGGGGCCCAGCTCTGGCTGTGCTGGCTCCCAGGCAGTCAGTGCCATCTGCTGGCTAATCTTTCCTTGGCTGCTATGAAAAAATTGAAAGCAAGCCCCCACAGCCTGCTATTTTGCCAGTCATCTTTCCCACTACATTTTGTTACTGAAGCTGCATCCACTGACAAATCACCAAAATGATGCATGTTTCCAAGAAGGGAGCATTACATTTAACACACTTTATTAAATACTGTTACAAATATGACAATACATATCAGATTAAGTCAGAGATGTTTAATTTATAATTTAAATATAACTTAAAACATTTCTCATTTAAAGTCTTTTCCTAAGACCTTAGTGCTTAAGCTCTTTATACTTTATTGCATACTTGCAATATGTATACAAAAATCTGAGGCATCCATTTTATTTGCAGATAATATACTGGCATGAAATCCTTAAACATCCTTCATTTTAAAATTACCCAGGCCCAGATCAATGGCCACAAACCTACTCAGGGACAGATATTTTAGAATATTTTTACAGTTAAACAGTACAGAAACACCCACAGTAAAAAAAAAAAATTGCACAAGAAATTAAATATTTATATAAACACTTATATTACAGTGCATAATCCCATTGGGATGAGAACATTTCAGATCTGCTTGCTGCATTCAGAAACCAGAGTACCTAAAATAAACACTACACTCAGTGCTGCTACAACAAGAGTTTAAAGTCCAAAATCTTTCTCGGACATGCAGCAAAAACCCAAATAACTGCCCATATTGTTATAGGCATATTTATCAACTGGAACATCCTGTTAAAATAAACAGACTTCAACAATAAGCCAGATCAAAGGCTTCAGAGGGATTCAGTGAATGTGTTTTCATCCCAATTATTTTGTTTCTGCAAATATAACCCATGTGTCTCCAGAAGAGACATCTGCAGCAGTGTAGTAAGCAATGGGAAATAATGCATGTCTTCACCTCACCCACGTACCTTCAAGTAGTCCAGAGGAGAAACCTGCCTCCTCTTTAGGAAGCAGCTTGCTATTTGCTCACCATCTGGAGAATAGGTGGCAAATTCCCCGTTATAAACAAATGCATGACTAAAGGTAGACTGCATTTTGCAAGGAGGCCAGAGTTTTGCCCTCTGCTTGTTTGTCTTCAATGGAAATACCAGATAGATTGAGTCCAAAATGTCTTAGCAATACACAGGGTGAATCATCTTGTCAGCAAGAGGTAAAAACACCTGGACAGCTGCTGATCTGCATGCAGTTTCATTTCCTGTAAATCTCCGAGACATAAGTAAAGATGGCTTCAATTCCTGCAGAGAGAACAAAATTCCTCTAAATTGGAAAAACTGGCACAGATTTGTATTTGCTCTCATTTTAGAGCAATTTTGTATGTGACAGGTACTAAGAACGTACAGAAGTATTTCTAATATCATATGTGGCTGGACAGAAGTCCAGCACAATCATCCTCTGATGAGCTGAACAACCATTTCTGAATCAATAAATCTATCAGTCTCTTTTTTTGTGTTCTACTAAGGTGGATATTAGGCACCTCAAAGCATATATTCCCATTTCTGCAACTGTATATCAATTAAGGCTCTAATTACTTTTGCCATTAACAGGAAGAGGAATTGTGAGTGCAGCTATCTTATGATCTTACCTGAAACACTTGATTTAGACATTCTGGCCAGCACTCTGGAAGCTACCTTCCATGGTGAGGCTCTGACAGCTACTATAAAACAGAAATGAGAAGTACTTTAGTGACAGCTGTTCTACAACAAATGGAGCTTAACAGAATTATTGCAATGTTTCTCATGATGCTTTCTGAGACATAGCTTACCTGGAAGGAGTATATTTCTTCCCTGTAAGAAAAAGAAAAAAACATTAGTATTACAAGATGAAAGTCCCTGCATGCAAACTGCCTTCTGCTAAAAACATCTCATTTCTGAATATTTGACAAAAAGCCATTGATCTAGCAACTGATCCAACAGACAGTTGTTGCTGTGTTGTCATTAGCCCCATCTCAACTCCCCATTCATACTTCCCAGCAGTAATTGCTGATGAATAGAACTGTTGGTTCCTCCTCCATAATTCTTATTTCTTAAGTGATTTTTAACCTTATTGACTTATTTGTCATCCAAAAGCAGCATACATACAAGGCTTCTTGGGAAAAAAATTGGAATTGGCTTAATATGGGAATTTTCACTCTTTCAGAAGAGTTAAGGGTTTACCCCACTCTCCAGTAAGAAATTCAGGCAGGTAAATAAAATCAGTTCACCCAGTCCAACTGCTCACCTTTTCTTCGAAAACGTCTTGCAAGCCAAAGGAGGACTGATGCTGTGGACAGCAGAGAGGAGCTTGTGGCTGCAATGCCCATGGAAAGATAGCTGACTTGTTCAGAAGCTGAAAAGATGAAAAATGTTTCAATGAAATTAAGACACACACGAGGTCTTTGAAGTCCTTCCTACTTCTTTAGGAAGAGCACTTGGAAAAGGAAGAATCAGAATTGCTGTTTGTCACCTATGAGTTCTCTTGCTAAGACAGGACACATTCTGTACAAGGTGAAAACCTGCACACTAAATTATTCACCTTTGCCAAAGCAACAAGGTAACAAGCTAGTTATATGAGGTTCTGCCTAACCTCCAGCCTCAGACGACAATGTGTGCTCATCTTGCACTTTATGTTTTGGTTCATATTTTGATTTCCTCTGGAGTGTCTTCTTTAAAGAGTCCCATTGCAATAAATGAAATTATTCAAGGATCTAAAATCTGTCCAAGCAAATAAAGCAACAGCACTCCAGGTGGGCCCAAGTGTGTTTCTCACTGAGGCCAGGGGCAGAGCTCTTATCGCCTTGGATGGGAAGGCAAGGCAGAGACTTCTGCCCTATAAAATTAGAGCCTTCGTTAGAAGGGCATTGAGGCTTTCGGCTGCAAAGTTCATCATTAAAAAAAAAAAAAAAAACTATCACACCAAATCAACAGATCTATTAACTTTTTCATTGACAAACAGATTCTGAATATAGATTTTAAGCCAAAGGTTATGTTTCTCTCGAAGAGCTTTTTCTTTATGTGGCAAAAGCCCAACACTAGCAATACTTTAATTAAAAGCCAAACCAACCAGCCTGGGGACTTCTGTTCTTGATGAGAAATCAAGATTTCTCACCAAGGCCTTTCAAGAATTGGGGTTTTCCCTCCCTATTTTCAAGCAGTATATTGTGAGACTTTGTTGGGATTTTTTCTTTGTGGACTGCACTACAATTTTTAACACACTGGTTAGCATATCTGACCCACCCTTCTATACCTCATTTGATTAGAAACTCAGTGCCATCTCTGTGGCTAGTTACAGGTAAAATACCTTCACATGTGGGCAGACTGGCACTCCAGTTTCCTGACTGACTGCACTCAAGAACATGAGAGCCATTCAGCAGCCATCCTTCTATGCAGCTAAAGTGGCAGGCTGTGCTGTACGTGAAGTTCCCAGCACCGTGCAAGCAGTCCACAAAGCCTTTCTCAGGAGGGCTCAGTGGTTCACATTGTACAACTGAAATACAGAAAGAAATATTAATGGTTAATAAAGCATTAAGGACTTTCCTGTCTTCAGCCCTGTTCTTTGCACTAACAAATGTGCACTGTATTTTTAAAGAGCAGTTTACATTTTCTTGCCAGAACAAGTGTTCTCAACACTCCCTCCCTCAAGTGTCTTAGGGATCAAATGTCTAGGAGAAAATTAACAAGCTCATTTTACAGGTACTATCAGTAACTATAAGCCAACTATTAGCTAATAAATAAAGTTAACTACTGTTAGCTAACTGGATTTCTAGGGCAGTCAGCACAGTTGCCTCAAGAACCCAGCATGCCAGTGCTGACAGCCCCATCCGCTCAGAGACAAGGATAAAGCAAGGTACCTGCACAAGCTGGCTGCTGCCTGTCCCAGGCCCCAGAAGACCCACACTGCAGCATGGCTGGTCCTGTCAGGGCAAACCCTTCCTCACAGGTGAACTCGCAGGTGGTACCCCAGGTGAGCTCCACAGGGGAATGGGAGCAGTTCACAAAACCATGAGCAGGCATTTCCAAGGCAGGACAGGTCACAGCTGGACAGCACAACAGAAAACAAGAGTTTAGCTTGGAGCAGACCAAGATAAGCACTCTTCTCCAAGCTGACAAGTTAATGTTTCCTGCCTGGAGCTGACCTTTGCAGAGCCATGATATCACTTTGCAGACCCAACCAGTCCTGGATACTGGCCGAGTTGACCCAAGAGCCTCAGGGAACAGGGACTTCAGCGTGTTGCACAGTGAAAAGAAATCAGTAAGTTCCAACTCAGCAAGTCTTACCTTTGCATTTCGGGAATGGCTCTGACCACCGTCCTTGTGCCAGGCATTGGACACTGGATGGGCCTTGCAGAACATAGCCCTCGCTGCAGTGGAAATCACAACGCGAGCGGTAGGCGAGATCTGCAGGAGCATGCTCACAGCTCACAAAGCCTTCCTCTGGCCAGGTTACAGCATCACATCTCACAGCTGCAACAGATCACAACAGATGCCTCAAGAACCCAGCATGCCAGTGCTGACAGCCCCATCCGCTCAGAGACAAGGATAAAGCAAGGTACCTGCACAAGCTGGCTGCTGCCTGTCCCAGGCCCCAGAAGACCCACACTGCAGCATGGCTGGTCCTGTCAGGGCAAACCCTTCCTCACAGGTGAACTCGCAGGTGGTACCCCAGGTGAGCTCCACAGGGGAATGGGAGCAGCTCACAAAACCATGAGCAGGCATTTCCAAGGCAGGACAGGTCACAGCTGGACAGCACAACAGAAAACAAGAGTTTAGCTTGGAACAAACTGGGAGGAAAAAAGTTAGCAGCATATCCAATGCATCAAAGTAGAGTTGGAGAAAAGACTTGAGATCCTGTCATTTCAGGAGATGGACAGGAGTTGGAGGATCTCAAAGTGAAAGACTGTTTTACAGATTGGCTGTGAATTCATCTGCAGCTCACAATAGCTGGTTATAATCAAAAATCTTCAGTGAGATTGCTGCTTGTTGATATGTTTGATGCTGCTTGCTCCAAATGGTAGGTTATTTTAAGCTGAACGCTTCAAGAACTTATCACAACAATCAGGATTAACTGGCCTGTTGTGAACAGTCTCAGCTCGATCACCTCCATTCCCTGTTCTCTACTAACAGGGCAGAAAGTGTTCTCCAGGAGGAAGTCTAAGGTAAGTCTGGGGCATTGGTCCTGCCCATTTCACCTCTTCAGGGACAAAGGAGGGTCTTTGTGCTGCGATAAAATAATACCTTCACCACAGAGGTAATTACAAAGGAATAGACCAGAATCTGTTTGTATCTATTAGCAGAGTAACTTTAAAGTATTCAGAGCTATGTACAATTTGGAAAGTTCACTACCACTGCTTGAGAAGCTCACCTTTGCACTCTGCAGGGGAGGCAGACCAGACTCCAGAAGAGGTACAGTGGACCGATTCCACTCCAGTCAGCTCATAGCCTTTTTCACACTGAACTGTGCAGGATGAGCTGTAGCTGAAGTTCTTCAGTGGATGGCTGCACTTCAGGCTGCCGTGATCAGGTTTCTTTAGTGTGTCACAAGTCTCAACTTCAAAGAAGCAGGAAATACAGTCAGAGTCGGTAGCTGAGCAGGTAAATTGACTAGTTAACACTAGTTTTTGACTAGTTGAACACTAGTTAATGTGACCATCTCTCTGGCTGGAAGGAAGGATAGAGTAATCTTACCAAACTCGCATTCAGGCCCATAGAATCCAGGGTTACAGCGGCAGGTGTGATTGTTAATAGTCTCTATGCATTCTCCATGGCCACTGCAGAGAGATAGGTTGCAGGAAGCTGGGAAGGAAAAAAAAAAATCAGCAAGTTATAAATGAGTCCACAATGGTCACTAATGAAATTTGGTTAGCGATTCACTTATCTTTCTGGTGCTGAACAAGCACTTTGTATAGCAAAAAAAAAAAAAAAAAAGCAGGACTCTTGGTACTTAACATTACCTCATCATTGCATGAAAGCATTTCAGAAATCAACTCATTTGACAGCCTAGCTAACAGTGAAAAGATTTAACTGGCTGGAAACTCCATGACCATTTGTGCTCAGGTAGATATTAGCAATATTTAAAATGCAAAAGGAACAATTGACTATAGTGTAGGTAGAAATCCTCAACAGGGACATTCTTTACCACCTCAACACGACTCTGATTTGCCAGATATTTGACTGCAGTTTTTTGATCTGCTGTAGCCACCTCCACATAAAGTGTCTAATCCATTCCAGTGGTCTACAGTCAACAGAGGGACAGATGCCTCCCAAAGGGCAATTCTTACCTCGCTGAGAAACCCACTGCAGACTAGCCAAGACACCTGCTGTGTCTCAATTATTTCAGGATAGGATGAAAAAAAACCGAAAGAGCCTGTTTCTCTCCACCAATTACACAAAGGTCTGGTGAGCTGCTTAGAAAAGATGTAAAATATTCTGAAGGCTATGAGATAGGTGAGATCAATCCAGCTCTTAAAACAACTAGCTTCAGCCCTGTGAGTATTCCACCCAGGGACTGTGTTTAAGGGTAAGTGTACAAGTGTCTGCAGGGTCAGGGAGTTACTATTTAAGACTAGGTTAATTAACCCCCCACTATCTCATCTCCACAGGGACTCGTTGGGATGGACATCATACCTGTATAGCACAAGGCGACCTTCTTTTTCTCACACTGTGCATCATTCCATTTGCCATCATCCTTCCCTCTTTTGATGTAGATTTCAACACAGTCTTCGTTGTTCCCCTGGCCATTTGGCTCACCTGAAGCCCAGTTTTCTGCCTCTTCTGTCAGTTCTTTGTTAGTTCCAACCCAGGTCCATGTCTCGTTAATTTTTCTGATTCCAATCCAGTAGTAACCCGGATTGAAGGGTAAGAAGTTATTGAGATAACTGATCTCCTCCTTATTCTGAATGGCAACCATGTTAGTATACTTGTCTTTGCACCACAGCTCTGCTTCATCATAGGTCATGTTTGTGTCTGAATAATGGTATGTCCAACAATTCACCTCCTCCAATATCGTAAATCCTGGAATGAGATGTCAAGCAGTTGGCACCTCCTTTTTTTCTTCTTTATAAGAGAATATATAAAGCCCTACAAATACTGCGTGCTTATCAATATCTGAACCTGCATAGGCAGTAGTTGCAATTATTTTATATACCATTAATTGGTGAGCTTCAGAACAGGCATGTCCGCATCAAGTATAGGACTTCAACCTGTAAAACTATACCTGATTAAAGTTCTATAGGCTCTGTAGTAAACCATATTAGCCACTAACATCTGACAGGTGAGCAGGTAAACATGCTATTGCAGTTAGTTTTTTCTATATGAATTTAGCCTCATGCTAAGTAGGCTGTGTTCAAAAATTCTGTTTAATTTGGAGCTCAGACAAAATAGCTACATTAACAATATCACCCAGCTAGTTTTCTAGAGAAATATACACTTACCGTAAGCAAGAAGAGATAGGAACCACAAACAAACCATGTTTCTGAGAAATTTCTCTTCTATCTTTTGTGCAGATAGCTATGAAAGACCAGAAAAAGGAACACATTTGCACACAACATAGACAGTATTTTATATTGAACTTCAAAAAAGCAGTATATGTTATCTGTTCTACAAACTTTTTTAACAAATCACTGAAGAACTAAATAAGATTTTCATTTGGAGGAAAAGAAACATTTAACACTGTTCTTAATGTCGAGACAGCTTTTAAGGTACATCAGGACAGAATTCTGTCCATTTTTCCCTTAGCTAAGCAACAAGATGGAATAAAACGCTCCCTTTATACTCACAGATTTTTGTTGGGATGGCCAGGTGCTATAGAAGTCTTCTAATATTTCTCAGTGTCTGCTTTCCTTTGCTAAGTTGCTGAATATGGTCTTGAAGATGAAGTTCAGCTTGAACTGTCAGGACTGTGTGTTCCTTTTGCCTTTACAGCAGCCTTTTATTCTCTCAGCGCAGCCTGCCCTCCATGAGGCAGGAAATTCCATGTGGAAAAAAAAATTTCTTGGAATATCCCTGGTTTTGACCCTCACACATTAAGCCTGACACTTCCCCTTCCCATATCAACCCTCCCACAGGGACAAACTGACCAAGTGCTGAATTCTACAGCTTTAGTGACAGAAGCACACAATTCCAGGATATCAGTGAAAAGCTTAGTTTAAGAGTTTGCTCTGCAAGTGAGTCGATTGTAACTTTTCTTAGTACAGATGGATGTGTTTTCTCTCGATTATAGGAAGCTCTTTGTGATTTGCAGCCACAATTTTTCTTTGTGGTAGTGAAGTTATACAAATTATTGCAGAGTAAAAAAGAAACACTCTCTACTGGCTTCCGTAGATGTTCAGATACCATATTGATGGCAAAAAACAAAAGAAACAGACATGACAGCTTCTTAAAAATACCATTTATCACTACCAGAACTGTAGAGGATTTTAAAGTGAATGTCTGAACTATGTAAAGCAAACTAGGGGGTTAATGTATATAATTCCCCTTACTTGATAAGAGAATTGAATATGTATATACCCTAAGAGGCCACAGAAATTTTGAATGCTCATTAAAGCTCTGAAATAAAAACAATATACATACTTCATCCAATTTTTTGTCCTTTTTGTACATTGTTCATAAGGCCAGATGGGAGGAGAATGCTATTTTGTTGAAAAACCACTAACCAAAAGTTTTCAAAGGAGTAAACCTACCACAGCAGATCTTTTCCTCAAAACTGTGACAAGGCATGGCACACTTTCTTTGAATTCAGCATAACAAGTATCCCGAGAAAGGAAATATATAAACTTTCTTCCCTAAGTGAGTTTTTAATGTTAAGATATGCCCGTCAATACCACTGACAGCTTGACAGCTAAAGCTATCAGCGCTCCACCTGAGTTGATAACGATAAAATATTTCAGCAGACCAAGTAACAACATGAAGCGGTTTTAAGGACTAATTTTTGCCTTAGTAGAAAAAGACAAAAATCTGTGAAGTACCCATAGCTTGATAAATCTCTGCCCATCCAAGGAATCCAAAGAAAAGAGGACCTAGCAAGAAGTATATTCTGAAGTAGCCCCAGTTACTATCAAGATAGGAGCGTTTTCTGTAAACTTCAAGGTAAGGCATCGGAAAGTATGCCAAAGTCAGTTACTAAATATAATGAGAACTAAACTGAAGAAACACATACTGAATATTTGCAGGGAGAGGGACGCTTTCTAGCATGTGTGAACTAATTAGGCTAGGACTGCTGACAAACCATCAAGAAATTCTCGAAAGTTGAAGTTAATTCTCGACTGTCCTGTAGACACATTCTGTGACTGCAGGCCTGGTCCAGCCCCATTTGTAACAACCAGACTCTTTCCATAGACTTGGAATTCTCAGGAAATCCGGACTGTTATTTTTGTAGCCTCAGTTGTTCACCTGTAAATTGAGAATTAAAACATTTCCTGTCTGCCCATTTTGCTCTGTCAGTGATCTTCAGGTTGTAAACCTTTGGAACAGGGCCTGGTATTTTTAATGTGTCTGTGTAGCACATCATGCAGTGGGTCCTAGTTTCATGACGGTTCTGTAGGTGGTATTCTAACACAAACTAATGACAAAACATTTTGCTAGGACAGTCATTTTTTTCTTCTGAGATACTGCTCAGCTGTTGTAATCATATATACAGAGAAATAATAGACCACTTCAGAACAAGCTTATATCCTCTCTAGTGTCAGAAGGGGAAAAATACTTCACCTTTTCCTGGAGATTCACTTTTCAAACTGCTTTATGAGCTTCCTGCTGGTAAGTGCTCATCCTTTTCACAGCAGAAGCTCTGAAGCTTAGTGGAGGAAACTTTACCGGAATCACTTCACCAGAGGAATCTCCACAGGAAGGAAGAGAGGGTTTCATAGTTTTCAATAGTCTTCCTCTGCAGTGGCTGTCTCAGACTGTTTGTCTGCTGCAGTTAAAAAAAAAAAAAAAAAAGGGCCCTTTTTAGTTTTTCCCCAGGAAATCCTGTCATCCACTGCTTTTATTTTTATTTCTTTTTAATACAACAGATGAAAAATACAAGTGTAAAATTTTCAGAAAAACAAAAAAGCCTGAGAAGCATTTTCAAAATCACCCAACTGACTCAGCAGCTAAAGTCTCATTATTAAAAGTCTCATAAGCACTTAAGAACTTAAATCCTATTGTTGTTCTGGAAGACTGGGATTCCTATGAGCTAAAGCTGGTTTTGAATCCTGAGTTACATAGCTGTTTCATGGAAAAATTTACGTCTGATATGGTTGCTTAGGTTGAACTCCTGATATCCAAGCTAGACATGCCAACCAACCTACCCCTCAGCTGGTCTTTATGTTACTGATTTATTTCCTTTGCCTTATTTCACATTTTTCTTCCTTTATTATAACCTCAACTCAACAGGTAAAGAACCCACTTTCTTGTGCTGCAGAGCTTGGTGCAGTTGTCAACTCCTTTCTCATGCTGCCTGAACATATATATAGTTCCTTGAAATGAATCCACTTTTCCCTCTGCCACAAGAACAGAAGACTTGTTAGCCTAAATCAAGTTCAGTTCTCAGAACTGCTGATCACTTGTTCCTATATGCTCCAGAGCTTCATTTCCACAGGTGAGAGCCCAGCTTTTTCAAAGTGAATGAGAAAACTATAGATTATCTTCTCCCTTACAGACACCTCAAAACAGAAGGAAAAAATGCCACAATTAAACAACTCACTAGATTTGAATTTTCTTTTCGTTCCATCTCTGTTGCCTGCTATGTCCAACTTTGAAAGAGTATGAACTTGATCTAACACAAGGGGCACAAGCACAAACATTTACCTGCCCCATGGGTACTTTCCAGTATACTGACAAAATAATTCCACACATGTTTTACAAAAGTAGCATTAGTATTTCTAAGAAAAATCATGGACTTCACCCTACAGACTACTTTCCATATAAACTAGTTTCCATAACGTATAAGGATTTAACAGCAATTTCTAACAAGAATAATCTAACAACAACTAATTTTTTCTAGTTGGAATGTTTAGTCAATAGCCCATTATGAGACATAGAAAGCAAGAATAAAAGACTAAACACACACATTAGGAGTAAGAGTAACAAAAAAGTCAGGTCTCTTATTTAAAGGAGAGCAGTTGACAGAGGACAGGGCTACTAATTCTTTTCTTTCTTTAGAGAAAGGCTAGCAGATACTCACTGCAATAGCATGATGCATGGGAAAAGAATAGGTCAGAGCAGGGAAAGACTAGACTAAAAACAATTTAGATGAATTATATTTAATCAAATTACTACTTAAGAATCCATCCAAGTTATCTCCAAACCCTTAATAATTATCCCTGAGAGAATGGGGAAAGGTGCCAGAGGGCTGAAGAGGAACAAATATTGCCCCGTCCTTATAGAAGGGAGAAAGGAGAAGGGTAATTAATAGCCAGCGCCTCCAACTTCAGTACCTGGGAAGATACTAGAACTGTATTGGAAAAACATTGAAGACGACATTGAAAACCTGCAGAAGGATACTAAGGCGTCAAGAGCAGCCAGCATTCATTCGCTGAGAATCAATTAGTCATACCAATCTAGTTTATTTGTACTTCAGGGCTGAGCAAGTAACAAAGAAACAATAGTGCATTGTAGTTTGCTACAATTAAGACTTTTAATGCTGTCCCATGAGACATTCTTACAGGCAAAGAAGAGAAATAGGCTTAGCTGAAATCACCATAAGATGATCATGCAAGAGGTTGAAAAACTACCCTTTGAGTAGTCATTTAAAGATCACTGCAAATCTGAGAGATCTGTACAAGTGAGCCCTGCAGGGGTTTATCCTGAACTACGTTAAGCTAATTAACATGTTGGATGGCAAAATATAAATATGCTTATAAAATCTGCAGATAACACTAAGCTGTGAGGAATTGTAAGGGTTGCAAAGGACCAATATAGAATTCAGAATGATTTTGATTAATTAGAGGCATTATCTGAAATAAATTAGAGGAAACTCAAAAACGAGCACAATGACACAATGATTTTTTTAAACTCTAAAAATTAAGATAGAAGCAAACTGGGAAATTGTTGGCAAGGCAGGAGCACTGTAGAGGGAGAAAAAAACCTAAGAGTTATACCAACTCAGACTCACGGTTTGCTGTCATTTCTAATTATAATTTCCAGAAATGTTTTTATTTCATTCAGTCTCTCACTGCCAAGTCTTAACTTGTTTATTGCATCTAATCCTAACTACTGCAATTTAGAAAGACAGGCAGACCAGATGGATTCAGACCAGGAGCAACACAATTGATACACTTAGAACCTTTTAGATCAAAGATTTATTTCATCTTTTTTGGAAAAGAAAGGGCCTTCTCATACAGTCTTGACATTCTGTACTCTATTTTCAAAGAAAGAAACTAAAAACTAGTAAATGAATATTAAAGTCTGTTATTCTTACACATACACCCTCATTTTGTTTGCTTGCCTCAAACACATGCATGCTTGTCTGATGTGCAAGTATACTGTAAATCTAATTTTATGAACTACCAGCTCCCATGGATCATAGTTCAAGTAACATACATTCAGAAAATATGGTCTATGTGGGAACATTGAAGTCATTTAATTGTTTTTTGTTGTTCTTTGGGGGGGGGGAGGGGGAAGGAACTAAAAAAAAGAAATAGAGAAGAGAAATCTAGATCATCTTCCAAAAACTAAAAGATATTTTAGTGTTATCACTTATAAGATGTATTTAGGAGAAGCCCAATAAACTTTCCTCCGTGTCTGCTTGGCATATAACAGGAAATAGTTCAATTAATTTGTAGTAATAAAGTTTTAAAGGAATGTTTTCAAAATATGAAGGTAGTGAAGTGCTAGAGCAGGAT